CATCAGGACCTCAGAACCACTACAGTCTGTAGTAGTAGTAGTAGTAGTAGTAGTAGTAGTAGTAGTTGTTGTTGTTGTTGTTGTAGTGGTAGTGGTAGTAGTAGTGGTGGTGGTGGTGGTGGTAGCAGTAGTAGCAGTAGTAGCAGTGGTAGTGGTAGTGGTAGTGGTAGTGGCAGTGGTAGTGGTAGTGGTAGGGGGGTAGGGGGAGGGGGAGGGGTAGTGGTAGTAGTAGTGGTAGTAGTAGTAGTAGTAGTAGTAGTAGTAGTAGTGGTAGTAGTAGTAGTAGTGGTAGTGGTAGGAGTAGTAGTAGTAGTAGTAGTAGTGGTAGTAGTAGTCGTGGTAGTAGTAGTGGTAGTAGTAGTGGTAGTAGTGGTAGTAGTAGTCGTCGTCGAACCTCCTCCTGTTAAACCACCACCACCACCCCCGCCGCCGCCACCACCACCACCACCACCACCACCACCACCACCACCACCACCACGACTGCGACGACGACTACGACGACGACTACTACTGCTACTACTGCTTGACAAATACGAATGTTAGAACTCGCTCGTACTGATAGTAGCACTAGTGCTAGTCACAACGGTACTTGCAGCTGTGGTACGTTTTCAGGCAACAAGCACCGGTCCGAAGAGTAGCAACCGAAACAGCAAAGTCCAGCTGCGGCAATATTGCGGCCAGCGCATCCTCAACAGTAGTGGAAATGTTTAGGCTTTAGAGATTGATGGGGAAACACATGCGTGCAAAGGCGGGTCATGAACTGAGGTGTGATCGCCTGACCTTCTTGGACCCCTTCAGGAGGCCTAGCTTGTTGAGTTGGATCCACGACTGCTCCAAGGGGAACGCACGCGTCTGGTTCGAAGATGCCTCGAAGGCTCTGAAAAAAGTGCACGCCGAGCGGCCACTGTCTTCTTCCACCTGCCCCGATGCTTTCCGTGCATAATTTCATCCTAGTTGTGGCGAACAATGTTTCACGCTAGTCCCTCGACGTGACCTGCGAGCCAAGCTCCCATGCATTGGGCGGGCCTCGATGGAGGTCTGCTGTTTCCACAACATGGGCTTGCAAGACTGGGCGGGCGAAAAAGTGTGCGGACTGTCACGAGCTGGCGCAGAGGAACTTGAGCAGTGAGAGTGGGGCACGGGCAGTTGCAGATGCTGAGCAAGATTTGTGATAAGGTCGATTATCCCGAAGCGGAGAGATGCAGATTCCTTGGTCACTTGCACCAACTTGGAGGGACACGTCTTGAGCCGACACCATTGGAGTTGGGTTGTTCCTGCGCCGAGGTCGTTGACCTGAGATCTGTGTCCAGCCTAACTGGATCAGACTATCTGAGGCGCCGTTCAAGGATTTGTTTCTCATTGCCGCTTCAAGGGACTCGCTCAGGGTTTTGTTCCTGTGATGAGTGTGTTCTCCAGATGCCGAGCAATCGTCAGGGCTAAAATCCACCATCGGACCCATGTCATGCTGAGAGGAGGAGCCGACAAGTTGCTCCCGCCCGGAAGCTGCAATAAAGGGTTGAGCTGTGATTCATTCGAATGTCTGTGCGATGCGTGCGCCTGTACGGGTGACACCGAATCCGGCTGATAAGTAAGATGGGGCAAACCCTGTACACAACTGCCTGCGCCCTTTGTACATCGTTTCTGAACTTGTTTTGTGGGTCCTCGATCCATGGAACCTTGGAACAGAAACAGCAGCAAGGCGAGCATCACGAAAGATCCTGCGTAGTTCAGAACATCTCGCGAGCCCTTTTAGCCATTCCAAATGAAGTTGCTCAGAGGTTGCCCCTCAGAATATGACTTCCTGAGCCATATGACTTAATTGGTTGAACAATCTTTCGTTGTTTAAGTGATCTTGCTGACCGCAGGTTCTCAATAATCTGCAGCTCAGCTCTTGAAGCCACGCCCTCAGTCGCTGGTCGGGCTTTTCGGAAACGAAGACTATGACTGTGGCTTACTATGACTACTTGTAGTTGCTACGTGTGGTGTCCCAAACCTCGCCTGACGTCGTCGAGCGCGAGTGCTACAAACCTGCTGCGTCTTCACTTTCCACTTGGTCTTCACCCTCTGGCTTATAGTCAGAAAGCAACCCACGTCCTAGGGCCCGCTGAAGCTTCTGGCCAGCTGCGGAAAGGCGCGTTGCATTTCACGCAATACGAGTCAGTGCAGGTACATAGTGTTTGCGACATGCGTTGGCCTACAGATTTCTGCCCTTGAGCATACACGCGAACCCAAGTCTACGACCTCTGTCCTTCATCGAGTCATTGCACGCAAGATGCAGCAAGAAGGAGCGTAATTACCTAGAGACCAGCTGCAGAAGGATCCGACCTGGAGTTGAATACCGCACGCCTAGGCGACGCTTTGCGATTTGTGCGATCTTCCTCGTCTAAGCTCTGCGCGGCACCAATGGCTTGTTTGCCCGTGCATTATCATGGCATATAGCAATTTATTATTAGGATGCGGGCTCAATTGCATGTGATTCGTGCGACGCTACAACATGCTTTTGCCTTCAATTATGTTACTTTGTTGCTGCGCCGCTTCCAGACTCAGTGGCATGTCCGGGTTGAAGCATGAACTTGCATCTGCGCACAGCCGGGCAACTTTCCATTGAGCGCTACTAGGATCAACCAGTCATGAAGAACCTGAAGGATTGAGGATAGCATATCGAGACCCGTCTCTGTCTGGAATGAGCCATGGTGCAGTTTCCGTGGAGCTCCTCCAAAAGCGATGAAGAGCCGGTGTACTCGGAAGCCTTCGACATCAGCCCAGCAGCAGCAGTTGATGCCGTGCGGGACGAACTGGCGCCTCGGACGTGCATGCAATCAAGTCAAGAAGGCCCAGTAGTGACTGGCACTTGGGAGTGGCAGCATGAAGCATCATGAAGCTCAAGGCCCCTTTCTGCAGGAACAGCTCCCGTCTGAGGCGATAGGCCTGATCACCTGTTTTTGTGTTTTTTTTCTGCAGCAAGTCTTCAGGAAGCCATAACATCAGGCAAGTGTCTGCTGAACAACACAAGCAGCAATGCCATCATATACACCTTTGCTATGTTTTCCGTGTTGCTGACACTGTCAATCGTCTTCGTCATCTTTTGTCTGCTTGTCGTCCTTTTTGGACCAACTGCAGCCTTATGCATGTTAGGATACTGCATCGGCCGTCGGCATTTCAGAGCTTGCTACACTGCCCAGCCTTGTTCTGAGTGTGATGTTGGGTATCCTAGAAAGTCCCAGAAACTCGCAGAGCAAAAAGCTGCTGCTTCGAAACACTGCCGAGCACCGTTTGCTCAGGAGTCCTTCTTCACAAGGATGCAGCAAAGGCTGGAGTCTCTCGAGACTGCGCTGACGGCGCCGCGTCCACAGACACCTGTGACCGCATCTCCGACCTCAAAGCCGAGCTCAGAGGAAGTGGTGGAGCCTGTGGAGCAAGCCTCACGCGACTCTTGCAGCCCAGGCGTCCTCCACAGGCAAAGGAGCATGCAGCATTCTGCCATTGTGGCGAGTCAAGGCATGAAGTCCACTGACGCCTCCGGCAAGGAAAAGGTAAATGGGGACGGGTCCAACAGGCGCTATGTCGTATCATGCGGGGTGAAGCAAGATGGGCAAGAGGTGCGCTTGCATGGCAGATGGATGGAGCTGTCAACACAGCGAGTGGACAACGTGTCCGTGGCTGCCGTGGCGGCGCGAAAGACCAAAAGGAAGATTATCAAGAAAAGAGGCTCCAGCGACCTCTTCCCCGCCGTGCGGGAACTCCGCATGAAGCCGATCTTACCGGCAAGCAAATTTAAGCTGCTTTGGGATGCACTTGGCTTCGCATTTATTCTCGTTGATGCTTTCACGCTGCCCGTGATTATCGCATGGGATGTAGCGGATGACTGCCAGGTCGGCACAGGAAATTGTATGCTTCGGGTGGTCTTCATACTCAGCATGTGTTTCTGGGTTATGGATGTGCCGCTGAACTTTAACACGGCATTCTACAAGAAGGGTGAGCTTGTTCTGTCGCGCAGAAAGATAGCTCTTCATTATATCCAGACATGGCTGGCTTTCGACATAGCCCTGATCTGCTTAGACGTGCTGAACCTCTCGCCAACTGAGATGGGGAGATGGGAGGCTTTGAGATACGCACGTATTGTTCGAGCGTTCAGGCTACTCAGGCTGCTGAAAATGTCCAAGCTTCAAGACATACTGCAAGAAGTGGCAGCTTCGACAGGTCGTCAATGGATCATGCTTGTCATTGCCATTGTCAACACGACTTTCGTCATTATTGTTGTGGCCCATGTGCTAACTTGCATGTGGTGGGGGTTGGGCAACTTCGTGCGTTATGATCCAGACTTCGGAGCAGACTTCGGACAGGAGAGCTGGATCGTAACATCCAACGCGACCCAAGCTGGAGCGCTCTGGATCGAGTACTTGCATGCGTTCCGGTATGTCATCAATGCTCCATCTCCTCCAACAGTGAATCCCGCCAGTGGTGTCGAGAGGCTCTTCGATATCCTTGCTTACGTTTTCTCCCTTGTGGTCATTGGATCCGCAGTTTCTGCCATTGCCGGCACCCTCAACGAGCTCAAGGCAATGAACGAAGCCAGTGCCCGACAGCGCAGAGAGATCCGTATATATCTTACGAGCCAGAGTGCATCCTTCGAGCTGGTTTCGCGAATCATGAAGTTTGTGGACTACAAGTTAAAGAAAATGTCCTTTGCCACCTTTGACCCAGCTCTGATTTCGACAACGCTGCAAACGGAACTATTTGTTGGACAGCGCAGCAAGTACTTGCAAAAGATGCCTATTTTCGCATTGTGCGATGAGCTGTTTCCTGATGTGTTTGCAAGCATCTGCGCTGTTCTCAGCAAGCAGATATACGAGCAGAAAGAGTACGTCTTCACTGCGGGGTCATGGAACACTCATTGCTATATCTCCACTGCTGGACAATTTAGCTACGTTGATGGCTATGACACAGATGCTCCGCCCCTCGAGATTCAAGGAGAAGCCTGCTTTGCAGAGCTCAGTTTGTATGCAGAAGCCAGTATGCACCAGGCTACGCTCACTGCCTCGACCTTCGCGGAAATGTTTGTGCTCAAAGGTCACGACCTGGCCGACTGTGTTCGTGAGTCGCCGGGATGTACATCAATGTTCTGTGAGTATGCCAAGGAATACGTCAATGCAGTCAAGAAGAAGGGCTTGCGACTTGGCTTACCGGAATCCCGAACATCTCTTCGAGTTTCATTTGCACCTGCCGCTGCTGCTAGTGCCGTGGTCGGGGAGTGGGTGATTGTGGCGGTTGCGATTTTTTTCCGACAAAATGCTGTTGTCCTCGTCATCGTCGTCGTAATCATCGCCATCACCAGCATTCTGATGCTCGTCCTCCTCCTTGTCACCAGGGGAAGCATCATCACTGTCCTCCCTCGTTTATCCCCATCACTACAGTTATCCAAGATTGTTTGCCCGTGCTTCTGTCATTACTATCCGAGCCAGTCATGTTCATCTTCGCCTTGGGTCCTGTCTGGTTCGTTTCTGCTTTCATCTTCCATCTCATTTGGCTTTCTGCCGGAGCCAGGGCCTCAAAAGATTTGAGCCATGCGAGGCAAATACCTTTTGCAGAGCAGGCCGTGATCTCCAAAAATTGCTGCAAAGCCAACCAGTGCTATCAGATCTTGTATCCCAATCCGGATCAGCTCTTCAAGAATATCTCCGTTGCTTCCGCGCTGAAGCAGTTGAACCAGCATATGGATGTGGTTTTACAGTCCAAGAGCCTTGAGTTTGGCAGGAAAGAGAGCAATGGGACAAAAGAGAGTCCGTGCCATTCTCAATCAAGCCGGACATCAAGCCTCGCAGATCCCGATGTGGAACAACTGCTGGAGCAAATTGCGGAAGAGGGACTTGATTCTTCTCGGGTCAAGGACCAGCTTCAGACCTACATTCCGGAGCTCCACGAAGCCGTGAGCCCTCATGTGGTTTTTGAGCAAGCTGCTGAACGTGACAGGGCCGAGTCCTCCTGCATCAGCCTGCTTGCTCTTTTACATGACCGATATGACATATTCACCGAACCACAAGCTCCTGGCGTCCGTCTACGTGAAGATCAGTGGGAGGAGCTACAACGCATCGTGAAGCTGATTTCAACGACGCCATCACAAGTGCATGCGGTACTCGTGCTTCTGTCCATCCGAGGTCTGGGTAAATCCAAGGCAGTCCTTAATCAAGTTCCCAGGAGTATGAAGCGTCCTGAAAGAGCAGTTGTGCACCTGATGACGAACCATCCCAATGTGGTGCCGTCTGTTGCCTTTCTCTCAGACGAATACCTCCTCTGCTCGCAGAACTGCTTGTTCGTGCATGAAACCTTCAACCTGGCACAAATGCTGCAGGGCGAGAACGTGCCTGCCAACGTAGACCAGTTGCAACAGCTTGTGCACAAGCACGGTGAACAGGTGTTCTACTTCTACATGCTCTTCTTGCTGGGCTTCATGAGTGGCATCGCCGGCGGCCATGGATCACGCTTCATGACCGCTAGAAATGCAGAGGGCTTCATCGCTGGTCTCAATGTGCTACGGCACGTCTTTGACCGCTCGCCCCAGGATATTTACTGGGGGTACTTGGCCTCTCGTGCCCATTCCTTGCAGCTCCCTGCAACATCTGCGGAAGACCTGGTGCTGGTGCGCCTGGCCTGCCTGAGCCGAGTTCAAGACGCAGACTCTTACTGGCATCTCCGCCAGTCCTGGGAGGAGCTGGGCGTCGCAGAGAGAGCAGTGCTGACAGAGCACTTCCTCGCCGATGGGCTGGAGAGGCGAGCCTTCGTGCTGGAATTTTTGCCGGCCTGCGTCGCCAACGCGAGATCCAATGGACTGGTGGGCTTGACCCTTCTTATGGAGGTACTGGTCGAGTTGCTTCATAATTTGCGGCCCGCTGTCAACGTTGTGCCGGAGGCTGCTGCTGTGATGATGCTACCGGTTGACCTCGGCGATATGAGCGAGTTCATCGCCGCGGTGCAGAACCGATTCGTCTTCAAGACTTGTGTGTCGAGATGCGCGTTCAGATTCTCAGGGACTCGCGTAATGCTTGAGATGACAGGTGGCAACTGGGGTCGTGTGAATGATCCGGACACCGACCTAACCAGCATTGCATATGACATCAAAGACATCTTGATGAAGCAGCAGCACATGGAGAAGCACATGGTCCGCCGGACTGGACACGGTGGCCATCTGAGTTAAGCTTGTTCAAAGTAAACTGCCCCGCCGCATAGCGGGATGAAGCAGAACGGCCGGCTGGAGTCTTGACGTTTAGTAGAGACTGATCAGACAGGACAACGAGTTTTCATGAAGGTTGCTTGCGCTCTGGACCATCCCGCTCAAAGACTTGCCTCAGTTCTTTAAAAGACTTCAGGCATTCTTGCGAGTGTTGTAGCATCTCTCCCTGTCGCTGATCGTGCGGCATGGATCCCTCACCCTGACACATTCACAGTCTCCTTCGCTGGGTGCAAGATGCAATGCATCCTTGCTATGTTCTGTTCTCCTGTGCGGTACGGAAGGAGATTGGAGGTTCATGGATGTCAGGAAGTGGCATCGAACTTACGCTGATCTTCTAGCTACAAGATCCAATTTTCTTTTGCGTTTCACCCCGTGTCTGTGAGAGTCTTGAGTGGTTTGATATTGATCCGTTGGAAAACCTGGAGCTTGCCAGCTTTCCAATTGTCTTTTCAGCCTTGTGCCTGGTATTAGTTGTCACATGTTCTGAAGTGCGAGAGTAGCCCTCGAAGTGAGCAAGGCAGGTGCCAAGAAGGAAGCGCGGGCAGGCGACGGCCCAGACCTTGGATTCCTACCATACCTCGGGTACTGCGGATGAGGGCGAGGATGCTTTCGGTTCCAGTCTTTCAGGATCTTTTGCCTGACGAATTGGTCCGGTGCCAAGAATCATTGCGTTCCTTCTTAGCAGCACATGTTGCCCAGCTCTCTCAACGAGGCTTCGCTCTTCCAGGTCCTGATCCACGGCAATGTGGCATTTCTTCACTCGTCGATCTCAGAAGAGGCAGTGCTGAGTCCTGCCAGCACTCTTTCAGCAACTTCGCACGATGCCATTATGTTTTGAGTTGGCGTTGCCAGGAGCTGCCGAAACAGAGGCCACGCAAGAAGCAGAGGTCAGAAATAGAACGTTGCCCCGCTCAGACAAGGGTTAGCGATGTTCGGACTGGTCGACTGTCTCAGTTTCAGTCGCACAATCTCACACAGATTCTCACTGCCTCACTTCCTCCCTTCCTCTGGAGCTTCGTATCCTTTCGCCTATCGCCTGCAGCTCTCAGCCGAAATCTTAGGTGATGTAGCGGCTTTTCGTAGAGAACCTACTTGCTGGTTTCAGGCTTCAATTCAGGCAGCCAGCATGCAGGCTTTATGCAGGATGCAAAACAAGGCATGGCAAAGTCGTCCTAGCGACACGGCGACACTTGTTGGTTGAACGCCGGCTTGCACCAGCACTGCGGCACCTTTCCCGTTGCGGTGGTCCACAGCGTTTTGCCCCAGCCGTAGTGGCTGAAACTCATGAAAAAGGGACCGGCGGTCTACTGGTACACGGCTGCGTGCCAGCATCAGCTTGCAGACTATAATTTAGTAGACAACAATACGCTGGGGTCTATGATCGTTTAACATAGTGTAATGCAGTAGCATGCAGTTGGTCGGATACTTGAGCCGGGGCAGCTAGACCACTGCCCTCCGACCATGGCGGGCCTAAGCCCAAACGACTCCGGCTCCGAGCATGCCTTCCGGTCTCTTCGTGATGAGGTCGCAACTCGAAAGCACTCGAAAGTAGCGCAATGCATTCACTCGTTCACGGGTTTCTGGAGCTCTGCCTAAGGACACTTTTCACCAACACATCCACCACAAACTCGATGAGTTGGAGGCAAGCTGCACATGAGCTTTGTACGTTCTTCTTGACACCCTTAAACGTCGCTCAATTTTGATTGTCTACAGGCACTAATGGCGGGCACGTTGGACTGCATTAACCTTCCTGCCCCAGCGATCATGAAGGACCCAGAGAATGTCTTCGCCATGGAGGCTATAGAGCCCATTGCTATCTCGAGACGGCGCCAGAGCCCTCCAAATCTGGAGGTGGGCACTTTCAAGCTGTACCCATCGAGCACGAAAGGTGGAAACAGTGAGGGAAAGTCGCATCTCCATGGCAGATGGATGGAACTATCGACCCAGCTTTCATCTGTGCTCTCTGAGATGCAGCCAAAACGAAGATTAAATGCAGTCATCGAAGGTTCGCGCAGCCTTTCACTTGGTGTCCGCATGAGAGAACACTGGCTGGAGAAGCCCCTGCACCCTGAGGGGCTTTTCAGAATCGCTTGGGACACCCTTGCTCTTGTACTGGTGACTGTGGATGGATTCCTCACACCTGTTGCCATTGCTTGGGACTTGGACACCGAGGCGAATTTCGTGTTCCAGGCCTCCTTTCTATGCAGCTTCGCGTTCTGGTTTATGGATGTATTTTGCAACTTCAACACGGCCGTCTATCTCAGAGGAAATCTCATCTACGCACGCTCGACGATCGCAATGCAGTATCTGAAGTCATGGCTGCTGTTCGATATTCTGCTTATACTGCTGGATTGTCTCAACCTGTTTACCACTTCTATAGGTAATCTGGCTGCGTTGCGTGTGGCCCGCCTCGTTCGTGCTCTTCGCCTCGTTCGCTTGCTGAAGATGTCGAAGCTGCACGACATGATTCAGGAGGTTGCGGCAGCCTCAGGGCGGCAGTGGATAATGTTGGTTATTGCAATCGCCAACACGGCTTGCAGAATACTGGTAGTGGCCCACATTCTTGCTTGTATATGGATCTGGCTGGGGCGGTGGGTGGAAGCCTCTCAGGGTGTCAGCTGGATTGAAATATCCGGTGCAAAGGACCTAGGCATCTATGTGCAATGGCTGCATTCGTTACGATATGTGATCAACTCGCCATCGCCCCCTTCGATTGCACCGAATAGTGCGACAGAAAGGGTTTTTGACATCAGTGCCTACATGTTTTCCTTAATGGTCATCGGTTCTGCAATCTCAGCGGTAGCCGGAACTCTGAATGATTTACGTGCCCTGAACGAAGAACGGGCGCGTCAGCGACGGGAAGTCAGGATGTACCTCACCAGCCAAAATGCAGGGTACGAGCTTATTGGACGTGTGATGAAGTTCGTGGATTATAAGCTTGAGAAGATGACGGCTTTCAGCTTTGATGAGTCTCTGATCTCGCCGACTCTCTACACGGAGCTCTTTGTCGGCCAACGGGGGAAGTTCCTTTCGAAGCTTCCGATCTTTTCACTGACCCTTGAGATTTTCCCGGACGTCTTTGCGCATGTTTGCACTACGCTGCAAAAGCATGTGTTTGAGAAGGGGGAGCTCGTTTTTGCAGCGGGTGATTGGGCTGAATCTTTGCACATGACCACGGCAGGCATCTACACACTTTCCGACATATCCTTGGAAGAACCCGATGATCGGATTCTCAAAGGCGAAGAGGTCCACTGGTTTGCTGAAGTCAGTTTGTACGCAGAAACTGCCATCCACATTTCGACTTTAAGAGCCAAGAACATCGCCGAGATGTTTATGCTGTCCGGGGACAGTTTGGTTTCGACAGTGCGTGAATCGCCTGCCTGTTCCGCGCTGTTCTGCGAGTATGCGAGGGACTTCATCGCGAAGCAGCGAGGCGTCAGTGACACGCACGACGATCACGTAAGATATGCGCGCGACTGCTGCCAGAAGAGCCAGTACTTCCAGGAGCTCCATCCGGATCAGTCGAAACAGTTCGAGAATGTAGACATTCTTACAGCTACCTCGGCAGAGTTCGTAGAAGCGGCGGCCGGTCCCAGCTCTCCGCTTCAGGAAGCGGAGCCAGCGAGGTTTGGCGTCGCAAGCCTCATCGTGGAGCTAACAGATGGCACACTGGGTGCAGAGGGGCTGTCTCAGAAGCTGCAAAGGCTTCTCCCGGAGATTCACCCCACCCGCGGAACATACCGCGTTTTCGAGGAAGGGGCAGAGAGAGGTCGTGCAGAATCTGCATGCATCGGCATACTTGCTCTTCTGGCGAACAGATATGATATCTACACTTACGTACAATCAGCAAACAAACTGTCGCAGTTACAATGGGAGCAGCTGCAGGAGATAGTCAGGTGGATCCACCCCACGGAGAAGCATGTCCGTGCTGTTTTGGTTCTGTTGGCCATGAGAGGTCTCGGGAAGTCCAAAGCTGTGCTGAGCCAGGTTCCCGAACAGGATCAGCGTCCTGAGAGGGCAGTTCTGTACCTTATGGAAGAGCAGAAAAACGTGGTCCCGTCAGTGGCGAAACTGGATGATGACGATGTTGCTTTGGTGCAGGACACACTACTGCATCACGAAACCTTTAAGCTAGCACAGATGCTTCAAGGTGAGAATGTCCCGGCCTCCCTGGCTGAGTTGCAGGAGCGATTTTCAGAGAGCGGCAATGGAGCCTTTCAATTCTACGTCCTCTTTCTATTGGGTTTTATGAGTGGCATTGCAGGTGGCCTAGGTTCAAAGTTCATGACAGCCAAGAATGCAGACGCAGTCATCAGTTGCATTTGCATGCTACAGCGTCTTCTAGAAGCGACACCATTGGGAATCTACTGGGGCTACCTCAGTGCCCGCGCCGGATCGCTCGGCTTGCCATGCACAACTACGGAGGATCTTGCTCTCGTTCGCTTGGCGTGCCTGAGTCGATTACAGGATCGGGATGGCTACGTTGCTTTGCGCAGGGCATGGTGCACCTGTAGCCAACGAGCAAGGATGCGATTGATGTCGCATTTCTTGGCCGATGGCATGTCTGATCGTGCATTCGTGCTAGAGTTCCTTCCCGACTGCATTTCAAACGCAAAAGGCAACAAGCTGGTGGGCTTGTCGGCATTCCTGCTTGTTCTGGTTGATCTGCTTGCCAACCTTGCGATTGTTGTCGATTCTTCCCCGAACATGAACTCCAGAAAGCTGGTCAATGTTGACCTTTCAGATATGAGTGCATTTACCCTGGCGGTGCAGAATTGCTTCGTGTTCAGAACATGTGTATCGCGCTGCAACTTCCAGATTCGAGAGGAGACTGTCCAAGTCCAAATGACAAGCGAGAACTGGAGCCGCACGCAGGATCCAGAGACGGACACCACGAACATGTGCCACATGGTCACGGAGATCCTTCTTCAGCAACAGGCTGTTATGGGACACTTCTCCATAGAGCAGGCGTCATCGTGGTCCCTTTCAGCAGCGCCAACAAATGGAGTGATGGAAGTGGCGTGCTGAGGGCAGAGTGTTGCTTGATGCTTGTTGTTTTGTTTCCTGGGCAAAGTACTGCGGGGCAGGCCCCCAAGGCTTTCTGCCTCGTTGGATACAGAGTGTACCATGGAAGACCCAACCATCACTTCCAGCATCGTTTGGTGTGAGGTAGGACAGGAGAGTTACTTCAAGTGCTTATTTTGCGAACCCATGACAGGCTCTTGCTTTTGCATTGAGGTGAACTAGACCGTTCTACTTTTGGAAAAAGCAAACAGGGGTAATGGTGGAACAAGCCTTCCAGTAAGTTGCCCAGTTTTTGGTAGACGAGCTATTTTGCATCGTTAGGCTTTTAGGGAGGAGCTGTTTGGCGTCCCACTGTTGTCGCCAGCTTGCAGCTTGCGCCATGATGGCGTTTCCCTTTTGTAGGTGCAGGCCACACAAAGGTTAGCACACATGGTCTCGAATCTCGGACCAACAAATCTTGATCTTAAATCCAGCGCCGGTTGTGCTCGGGGATCGTCCAAAGGACCTCCTCATGGCGCACCTGGGTGGTTTAATGTGCATCGGACATCGGACATCGTCGGAATCCTTTCAGACGGCTCGCAGAGCCACGAACTCAAAAGAACGCGGCTTCAAGCCAGGGGTGCAGACTTGAGAGCACACAGGGCCACTGGAGAGTCTGATGCATGCTTGCACGATGGCTTTGATGCTTGCCGTGTTTGTGTAGTTGGCGCCCACTATGGGCTGTGGGTTCTGGGGTTTTACTTCGGTTGCATAGAAAATTAATTGGTTAGTGTAGCCGCACGGCGCGCCCGACGAGGCGCTCTTGGAATATTCCTCTCTCCATCTGTGGCACCCCGGGCATACTTGCATTGTCTGTGCCCGTGTCCCAATTCTTAAACATTCAGGCACGATTCGTGCGGCTCAATGTTCCGGCTGTATGTTGGAAGCATTTTGGTCGTGTCTTTGAATCCCGCCAGCCCATGGGGAAAAGCATTATGGCAATGGTCTCCGCGGTTTCCTGGTCCTGGTTGTCGTGGTGATCCACTGGTCATGGTCGTGGTCTTCATGCTTGGTATAATGTGATACGTGCCCATTCGGAGGACATACCCTTCTTTGAGCAGCTCTTCCGCTTTTCTGAGCAGGCTGGCAACCGTCGTGCAATGCCTAGGGCCTAGGGCGGGACAGAGCCACTGATAATTCAGTAGTGTACTGGAGGTCTCGGGGTTGAGGCTACGAACGAGAGCCAGAGCACAAGATGAACAGTGCGTCTCAAGCCGGAACGCAGGGTGCCAACTTCGAGGCCGAGGTGGAAGTGCGAGATGCACTGTCTGTTGCTTAGATTGTTCAGGAAGCTTCCAAATTCAAGCCGAAGCCGAGCTAGGTTACAGCTTTTTCGCGAAGTGTGCCGAAGACATGGGGCAGTCAGCTCCTGAGTGATGGCGGCGAAGGAAGATCTTTAGCCCGATGTTTGTTGGCAGGTTGAACTGTCAAGAACAGCATCCTTCTTCGTATTTTTCTTGCTCCTCTTCCTACTGCTGCTACTGCAACAACAGCAACAACTACAACCGACTACCTGCTACCTGATACTCTTGCTATTACTGCTGCTGCGACTACCAAGTAGTAGTACTAGTACTAGGACTAATCTGCAGCCGTAGTTGTGGTAGTGGTAGTGGAAGTAGTAGTAGTAGTAGTAGTAGTAGTAGTAGTGGTTGCTGTTGTAGTAGCACTAGAAGCAGTAGCAGTAGTAGTAGTCGTCGTCGTAGCAGTAGTAGTAGAAGTAGAAGAAGTAGTAGTAGTAGGAGGAGGAGGAGGAGGAGCAGCAGCAGCAGCAGGAGCAGGAGCAGGAGCAGGAGCAGGAGCAGGAGCAGAAGCAGTAGTAGTAGTAGTAGTAGTAGTAGTAGTAGTAGCAGCAGTAGTAGTAGTAGCAGTAGCAGCAGTAGAAGTAGTAGTAGTAGTAGTAGTAGTAGTAGTAGTAGGATTACGAGTATAGGTAGCACAAGTAGTAGGAGTAGTAAGAGCAATGAGAGCATCAGCAACCGGACCTCCGGGT